GAGGAACTGGAAAGATGGAATATTCAGAAGATAAAAAAGGACTCTGGTGACATACAGCCCAGTAGTTACTATTTCAGATTGTAAAATTCATCTCATCTCTGTAACAGCAAGGAATACATGATTTTTAATTACTCTGTTTCTTGACTATGAAACAGAACACTGGGACAGAGTATTCTGTCATTAAATACTACATTTATTACCAGAATTTTTTTCTAGATTTTCCTGACACAGTTCACCAGAAAACTTGGGGGTTTGTTTGTTTTTTTGGGGTGGGGAGTGTTTGGTTTATTTTTTACTTTATATAACTTCTCTTCTAGATATGGTTATCTAACTTTTATTCCTAACTTTATATTACAAAATAAACAAAGATTCTTACTATGTGGTACAACTGAACATCAAATGTTAAAAAGCTTACTTTAGCCTACAAAGACACTGAGTATGTTCCTAGGAGAAAAATTCACTCAGGACTAGTAAGCACAAAAATTTCACCTCTGGCTCAAGAAGCTTTTAGGCCAGAAGCTGCTTGGGGCTTAGACTGTGTCCTAAAGAAAAGGTCATTATCTGTTTTCCTGACCTCCCTTGGCTGTCCTGGTGGGCACGGTCAAGGACCAAAGGCTGGAGGAACGTGATCTGCTTCACAAAGCCACATCACTGGCGCTTTGTCACAAAGAGAAACAGCTGACACTGTTTAAAAATAAGACATGTGCCTTGCAATGAAAACACCCATCACAGACCCTAGAAGCTAGCTCCAGAACTGGAAACAACATGGCTGTACCAATGCAGTTAAGAATGAAGTCTAAATAAGCAAGACTACTCAGTGCTTTGAACTGCTTAGTCTTAGAGGAGAGGCTAAACCTTTTCTGGCCTACAAATTATCTCTGTATTTCTCATCTGCACAATTTTGTTTATTTTGTGTCAGGTCTGAGATCTCTATATTACGATATGTAGAGATACATACAGTATCCTTCTTATGACTTCTATTTTTTGTATTTTTCTATCACTGATTGAAAAAAATGAAGAAGGAATAAATTTAAAATTGCATTTCTCTGTATTTTACTTTATATGTGCACTTAACATTATCTTGCATTTATTCCTCTTCAGGCAACTTTCCAAACTGCATTAAGTAAAACTGTCATCTTTATATATAAAACATTTTTCTGAAGTTCTTTCATATTTGCAGCATCAGTCAAACTATTTATCAAACCAAGAATGGATCCCTTTCATGTCAATGAAATTGGCATTCATTTCTTTTTAACAGACTGGCTGAGCAACCAAAGTAATAATTTTTTAGGAAATGGATTTTCTGTAAATTGTTTTCTACTAAGCTTCAGTTTCAGGCAATAGATTTATTCATGTGATAGTTTTTTGTTTCCTTTGTTGAAAGATTTCTTTTTATCAATCAATTAATATTTATTTAATAATTCATTTGACCTAGGCAGGCATGATCTAAAAATCACCTCTCTTCCAATTAAGGAGCTAGTTATGATTTGGAAGTACACTCACTTTTACTTTCTGGATTCTTTAATTCTTCATAAAGGAAACAAAGATGTTTATAATAGGACACTTAATAATGAATTTGGCAATATCTTGTGACAAGCTGTAACTGTAATTCTGTAGTTTCATTTTTTGTTTTGTGACTCTAGATGAACAAGAAGTGAAGGTGACCAAAATATATCAGTTACTGAAAAAATACTATGGAGAAGTAGAGCATACTTTGCTGCAACATTTCCTTAGAGGAAGGCTCCTTTATTTTGCATTTCAAAGCAAGATGATACGGACTATTGTAACTTCTCACTCTGAAGAAAAAAAGAAATGGTTCTGAACTGAAGAAGAAGAAAGAACATATTTATTCTTGTGAGTTCTGCTTCTCTAATGTTTAAAAGGTATCCTGAGCAGTGTGGTAGATCTCTACTCCTTTCTCTAAGAAGTCAGACTTTCCCTGAAGCTGTAGTTTTCAAACCAAAGCATTGGTAGCTCTTTCTTAGCATGTACAAATCCTCTCCAATGAGTGAGAATTATGTTTCTACCAAATACACTGAGTTAAAAGCACCCTGAAGAAAATAAACCCACACTGAATGAAAGAACTGGAGAACAGCCAGTCTATTCTAATAAGGAAACAGCAGTGCGATAGCATCTTCTGGGCCCAACCGAAGCAAAAGTTTTTTTTTACCTTGGGCCCTTTAAGCACATATAGTATGCCAAGCTGTGTATGCTATTTCAATTCCTATTGTTTAACATGCAGTGAAACAAAGAATTATTATACATACTTTCAAAGTTGTATGATGGAGAAAAACAAATTATCTATGGCTGATGAACAGGTTAAGTGGTAGAAATGAGAATAAATAATGCTCCCTAATCATGTAATCAAAATATTACGGTTTTAAATTTAATATTTTCCTCTTGTGCTTATCTTCACTGAATTGCCTGTACAGTCTCTTTTTCTAAATACAGCCAGAATAGTTTCTTGTTTTTCTCTCCCTTCTTTCCTTCATATTACAATAATGAAGCAACATTATTGCTGGCCTCAAGCTGCAAAAGACAGGGATATATACAGGCCCTATGAGCACAACAATTTTTAAAAACACAATTTAGTTTTGAAGCTCCCGTTTTGCATCATTAAGAACTAGCACTTGGGTGGCATCATCTAATCAATGTCCCTCTCCAAATTGTAATTAGTGTTATAACTGAAAGAAGCAAACTCAAGTCATCATAAAACTCAATCATCCAAGATACCATTTTTGTAAAGCTACAAAACAGATGGTTGTTTTTCTTCTATATGATGGTTTCAGATGAAACTTCAGTAACAGCCTTTAGGTTCTTTGAGCAGCTCATTTTACTCTTTTTAAAGGAGCCTCTTGTTTTTGCACTTTTTCAAAGTTAAAGTGACAATGAAGGCTGTCAGGTTGACAAGACTGGAATCTGATTTTCCTTTTTCTGTAACTGCCCCCCATCAGCAGTTCTTCCATTGAAGGCAATGGAAGTGCTCCCAAGACTTTCCAGAGGAAGAATCAGGCCCTTCATTTTTTATGCCATTATAGCATATCCAGGGAAAATTTCCTCTTGCTGCCTTACATCACTGTTTCAGAGCTATAAGGTAGTGAATGGCTGCCCTGACCTTGCTGTTTACTTCCCTCTTTGTTTATCTGGCCTTTTGGATTCTCTGAAGACAAGTGAGCTTGCAAGAATGATTTCTATACAGCCAACCTGTTAAAAGGGACTCTCCCTTAAAACTTTGATGGTACTATCATCCCATTTCATATTAGTTAATGATGCACCATCAAATTCTTTTCTGTGGGATTACAGATTTCAGTGATCTCTAAGCATCCTATGCTATTTTCTTTTAATTCTTTTTTTTTTTATTAAGTGGGATATAATTTCAAATTTTTAAATGCTATTTTGGGGGTTTTTAGGGCCTTTTTTTTGTTTGGTTTTTTGTTTTCACTTTTGTTTTTTGCCGTAGTTACACACAGACACAGGCATTGCACCTGTTAAAGTATATACAGCTAACAGCATACCAAAATGTGTGAGATCTCATCTGATGTCCACAGTACACAGAGGAAATGTTCACTGCTACTGCAGCAACAGATGAGCAAAAATGTGTTGATTAGAAAAGCCTACATATATTGAAGTACTTTGAAAGGACATCATTATAGATTTCAGTCTAAACCTGGGATGGTTTAAAAAAAATCCAGCTAATCACAACGAGTATCATAGCTCGACAGACATGGAAACAGCAAACATGACCATGGTACAATTAACTAATTGTTGTAACATATTTGAGCTTGACTGTGAAGCTGTTTACTACAAGACACAGGGTATGACGAAAGTCAGTGGAATTCCTTTCATTTACTTTCATGAGCTTTCTGTCAAGTTCATAATATTTACAGTGTTTGAAATTACATAACTTAGACATAGCTACAGTCAATCAGAAAATATGACTTTGTTTCCAAATAAGTTTCAAGAGCAATGTTTTTTGGTAAAAGCTGTTTGTAGAAAATCCAATTTATCAAAATAATATAAATAGATTTTTTTTCACATTTTGATGTACAATTTTGTAAGTAACAATATTGTGAAAGGAAATGAACAGTTTAAAAGAAGCTAGTTGAAACCTCGGTGAAAGTAAAAAAATCCAGCTCAAGCAGAAATGTATCAATGATACTTGCTCATTGTGACAGGCAGCAAACTATCAAATAAGCATATTGGCAGGACATGGTCCCAAATGAACTATTAATATCCAAGAGAACATTTGTTATGGGGTTAGATAGCTTTTAAAATGATCTCTGAGCTTTTCACTTATTCTCTGGCCTATACTATGTGAATAGATATTCCTTCTTTCTAAACCAATTGTGTTTTTCTGGCTGTCACTCCCTAAAGACACCCTTTGTCTTAAACCACCTGGAGTTGCAAAGGGAACCAGACGTGTCTGTGTAGGTGCACAGCTAGTAGAAACGGTTAATGGGATTTTCAATTTCCTTTTCATTTTTTCTTTTTCCACTTTAGGAATCTAAATAATTGAAAAACTTTTGTGAATTACAAATACCATTGAAATCCCTGTATACAATAATCATTTAATTATTTAAGCCTTTCTACTGTTATCATTAATGGAGTAGTTGGAATTTATTTTGCGCTGTGTATACTGATTATATTCCTAAGAGAAGGAAAATCTTTTTTTTCACATTTTTCTGCACTTTTCTATTATTTTTCTTTCAAACAGAAGAGTAGTTAGAATCTTCCTAAAGATTTTAGGAGAGTGAACCCGTATCATTATCCAGAAAGCTAAGCCTATTCATCAAAGTTCAGTTATTTAGAAATGTGGCAGTTAACGGTGCTGTTAGTGCCTGCTTTATGAGGATCAGGGAACAGAGTGTCACAGGGTGGAGTTGACAAATGTTGTCTACATATGGCAAAAAGTGACAACGAAGGGTAAAACGCATCCTCTGAGTCAGAGGATATGTTGGTACTTCTTAGGAGAGTGTTTTTTCACATCTTTGTCACATCACAGCTTTGCTCAGTGGTAGCATCATAGCCAATGAGGTTAATCTGAGATTTGATTATTGCTAATTGAAAACTTATCCCATTTGGGGTTCAAACGTAAACTGGGGAAGTTTAGATTGGATATAAGGAAGAAGTTCTTTACTGTAAGGGTGGTGAGGTACTGGAATGCGCTGCCCAAGGAAGTTGTGAATGCTCCATCCCTGGCAGTGTTCAAGACCAGGCTGGACAGTCTTGGGTGACATGGTTTAGTGTGAGGTGTCCCCTGCCCATGGTAGAGGGGTTGGAACCAGATGATCTTAAAGTCGTTTCCAACCCTACCTATTCTGTGATTCTATGATTCTATGATTCTATCTTTCCAGCGATGCATTACCCTTTCACTTGACTCCATAGGAGGTCTGGAATATCTAAACAACTACAGATGAAAAAGGAATTCAAAAAGCACATTTGGAATGTGAAAAGTTTTATTTTTCTGTAAAACACTAGATGCATACTGTGCTACTGAGCTCCCTGAACTGGCATCTTAATTAGCCATTTGTATTTACACATAGTCATCTTCCATTTATATGGGAGTCCTGTAGCACAGTGATCAATGAAGCAAAAGTTGATTGTAAAATGAGCAAGACACGGAAAGGCTATATACAAGCAAAAGATGATATTGTGCCAATTTGATTATTGTTACGTAGTAATACTAGTGGCACTGACTGTTGGTGTGAAAACATCTGCCATGTGCAATAGAGCCCAGAATGTGTTTACCATTTGTCACAAAACCAAAAAAAAGTGGGGTTACATGTCCATGGTCTCTGCCTGATTTAGTCATCCCATTCCCTGAAAACTAAGCAACATGCCTTGCAAAACCCAGGTGATTATCTTGGTTCCATGTTGCACTGAGTCCATGGTTATGCTAGCTTAAACTCATGCACTTATAAGTGATCTCTGACATGTACTTGTACAGTGGACATAGACAGCATGTTCTGGAAGCATCATTCTGTAGTTGCAACAAACAATATTCACAGTGGCCACACACAGCAGATAATTTTATTATGACTAGCTAACTGAATGTGAGTGGGGTTTTGAGAAATTAGTTCTTTTGTGAGAAATATTAACTTCATGAGCTGGTTGAGGGGGGGGAAAGCTTTAAAATTAAACTCTGTCTATAGGACTGACTGATAAAACCTGAAATACTTTACATTTTAAATAAAGAAAGAGTATCCGGATGAGGGTGGATATTAAACTAGGGACTGTAGTGGTAGGACAAGGGGTAACAGGTTCAAACTTAAACATGGGAAGTTAGAATGGATATAAGGAGGAAGTTCTTTACTGTGAGGGTGGTGAGGCACTGGAATGGGTTGCCCAGGGAACCTGTGCAGTGTTCATGGCCAAGTTGGATGGAGTCTTGGGTGGCATGGTTTAATGTGAGGTGGCCCTGGCCATGTCAGGGGGCTTGGAACTTGATGATCTTAAAGTCTTTTCCAACCCTAACTGTTCTATGATTCTATGATTAAATGATGGTGAATTAATACCACTTAAAACATTGTAAGATTCTATTAATTTGTGAAAATTAAAACCTTAGTGAAAGAATAAGGAAATCTCATTGCCAGAACTACATGACATGATCTTGATCTCCCAGTGGTCCTGGAGGGAGTTTTATGTAAAGAATAAAAAAAAAAAAAAAAAAAAAGGAAAACAAAAAAGGCACCTTGCTTCTTTGGTATGTAAAACAGCTAAGATACTTTGTTTTACAAAACAGAAAAAGAATTGAAGCCAACTGTGTTTTCCAGATAGTCAAATAGTATTGCTTCAGTTAATTCACTTACAGAACTTGTTCAAATTATTGTTTTCCGTTATATACTGTTATTCTTCAAGCGTACAGAACCTTCTCCTTTGTCTTTTTTCTTAAGCATAGACACCATGTTTATCTTTTTCAAGATATTTACTATAACCCCCTTTGCACCAAACCTGTAATTCTATCTTCCATTTCATTATGAATTCTAGGATGTACATTGTCCAATTCTTCTGATTTAAGGATATTTTATTTTTTTAAGATTTAAGACTATAACAACTTTCACTTCTACTCCATTACCTCCTGCAAAAACCTTGCTATTGCTCATTTTCAACACAATCTCCTTTAAAACATAAACAAGACACAAGTTTAACTTCAGGACCACAATTCAACAGCATATTGTGTCCAACACAGCCTCTGTGAATAGTTGATCCCCTTCATCCTTTCACATTCTCCTGTCATTTATCTTGGGTTTGTATTTTTTTCCTATTTACTTTTATTTCTTTTTTTAAGATCTAACAAATACAGCTTTTGGTGATTATCCCGCTATTTGCTTCTTGGCCTCTTCTCACTGATTCCAGAATAGATTCTCATTTCTGTATTATTTTTTTAATTAGGAATGTTTCTCTCTCCCTCCGAGCAATCTCTGTGGCTCCTTTTTGAGCCTGAAGGAATCCCAAGCTTTCCCTGTGTCTTTTAGGCAGCTAGGTTTGATGTTTGGCTCTCTCAGTATTGAGATTTTTCTGAGAAACCTGGTAAATACGTATGGCTGATGTCAAAGCCTCACAGGGACAGTATGGATGCCAGGGACAGTACGGCTGCAGAAGCATTATGCTTATTTAGCTTCCTACTGATGAATGCATGCAGCTCATTTTTTAACACTCACCTAACCAGATGTTCAAGAATAACTATCTACAGCTAAAATCTAAGGGACTTGTCTATTCAAGACTTACGTGATGACCCACTAAGTGTAGAGTCGTCTGTAACAGCTGCCCTTCAAAGGCTTCACAGCCCATCTTGTATGCTAAATTTAAAAGATCAGACTACCTGTTATACAAACCTGTGCAATTTCTGATGGACCATGCACAGTACTCATTGAGAAAATCAGGGATGGGTTTTTATAGCTGAAACTCATGCTCCCACTTCCTGCTTATGGTGCAGTAAACTCTGGCATGAAGACATCAAACATCATGTTCTGATAGGTATGCATCTTGCTCAAGGATTACATTAGATCTGGTTCCTAGCACATGACATCACCTTGTCAGAGATACTCACAATCTCTGATATTATATTCAAAGTGTTTAATGACCCACATTAAACACATTGGAATAATATCTAAATTAAATATAATAAATTAAACACCTTGGGTATAATATCTTCAGCATTACTTGAAGTGCCTGAATAAAGACTATAGTTGATAACTTTACTTTTCAAATGCAATAAGGATTTTTAAACCACCATTAAGATCCTCTCTAGCAACAATGAATCTTTATCCAAAGCTTTCTTAAAACCAACTATAGAAATAACTTTTTCTTAAGGATCTAAAAGTGAAATCTCGTTTCATTCAAGTCCAAGATTATTTTTCTTTAAACTACTTTTTCTAAGATAAATATACAGCAGAATGTATTTAAAAAATCAAACAAAGCAGAACATTGACAAAACAAAACACTTAGCTGATCATATATCACTCCTCCTATGCTAAGGGTGAGCCATGTACGACAGATGGTGAACATTTTGCTTATTGTACTACAGGAAACCACTCAGACAATACATCAGTAACTCATATAAATATGTACTTGGAAAGGAGGAAAATGAAATAACTTAATATATTAAATCAATAAATTACTATGGAATAACCCATTTCCTATGATTATTAAAGAGTACATGCAGCTTCAGATTCCTACAATAATTACTCTGAGACTCATCTCAAGGCTCACAATATATCTTGGTAGTAGATCAAACCCTGTAACCATTTTGCCCTGTGAAAACTGAAATTTTGAGGTCTTCTTCTGAATTGAGAGAAAAGAAAAAGAACCTGCATATAGATCATCCGTATTTCATATAGTAATCCTACAAGGACTACTAGCAACAAAGGGGTAAACAGGAGGTTCATACAACTCTGATATCTCTGTACCTTCAAAGTTTTTGGAAGTGCCGTAAAACACTTTTCACTTTGGTCAGAATGTGTCATTTCATGTACACTTTCAGTTTGATATAATCTTTAATAAATGCATTGATTTTGAGTCATTCTAAATAATTCATTCACCTTCGCTTTGGACACTGAATAAAAGGCTATCTTGCACAACACCAAAAGCAGTTCAGAGAAGAGAAAACTGGATCAAGGTTCTCTCTCACTAGACCCATCTGATCAGAATCCCATGGAAAACTCAAGACAGTTCAAGGGTCACTTTAAATAAAAGAGAGAAGCATAATGTTTTTTCTGCTTGTCCCACAGGATTTCCTAGTTCTATTAGACAACTACCTTACTATAGTTTTGATTTTGAGAATCTTCACTGTATTTATGAACTGCTCCTGAGTTCCAAATATTAGACTCAGTGTAAGTACGCAATGTTCTTATTAATAGAATCATGGAATCATTGAATCAGCTAGGTTGGAAAAGATCTTTAAGACCATCAGTTACCCCAGGACTGCCAATTACCCAATTGTTACCCCAGCACTGCCAATTCCACCACTAAACCACATCACTGAGGGCCTCATCTACATGTTTCTTATAATACTTCCAGGGATGGTGACTCCACCAGAGCCCTGGGCAGCCTGTTCAAATGCCTGACCACCCTTTCAGTGAAGAAATTTTTCCTGCTATCCAGTCTAAACCTCACCTGTCACAACGTCAGGCCATTTCACCTGCACATGTACTCGCTACATGGGAGAAGGGACCAGACGCCTCCTTGCTCCATCCTTCTCAAGGGGGACCTTATCACTCTCTACAACTACCTGAAAGGAGAATGTGACAGAGATCGCTTGTCTGGTTGCCCACTAGACCAGGACTGCTGATAGATGATGGAGAGTGGCTTGGCAAGCTCCTCTCTGCCAGCTCCTTCAGCACTTTTGGGTGGAACCCATCCAGCTCCATAAACCTGTGTATGTCTAAGTGGAGCAGGATCCCGTTTGCTATTTCTTCCTGAATTATAGTTACTTCAATCATCTCCCCATCTCTCCAATCCAACTCAGGGAGCTGAGTACCCTGAGTGTACAGCTAAGGATGGCTGGTGTGACTATCAGAGACTGAGGCAAAGGCAGCATTAAGTAGCTCAGCCTTTTCTTCATCCTTGCTTACTAAGTTTTC